GTGTGCTGACCGCGGACGGATTAATCCCGGAGTCTAGGCTGCAGGCTTGGTCTTTGCCCTGCGCACTTGACTGCAGGCGTCAGTTTTCGCCCCGTGCTTGGTCTGCAGGCTCCGTTTTCACACGTGTTTGAGCTAACTGAGGGGCAATGCATATTAAATGGCATCAATCTCTATTGTCTGAGGGATATAAGAGGAGCAATGTGCATTAATTCAGATTCATGTTCTGCCACTTGCAGTAAAACCACGTTGGAAAAAAAAGAAAAAAAAAAAAATTGCAAGACTACCCCATCGTGCTCCAGACGGCACACACCAGAGCTCTTGCCACAGCGCCATCTTTACAGCATTAATCTCATTACTCGCAGGTCACTATTGTTAAATTAATGTATTTAAATTCGTCTATCTGCAGGAGGAAGGAGGGGCCATGCATTTAAATAGCTAGGTCACTAGTATTAAATTGGGTAACTAAACTGCAGTTGTTGCATTTTGAAAGTGCAGCAGAAAGAAAAAGGGCCCAATGTGAATCTGCAATGGGTGTGAAGTGGTGTTGGAGCTAATGAACGTGTGGAAAAGTGATCGTTCATGCGTCTCTGCCATAACCATAGCAGCAAGATGGCTCCAGGGGACGTCTGTTATTCGCATGGGAATGTTTCGGATTCGGGTTGATTTATTTCCTCAGGCTGTTAAACAACCGTGGGCATGGTTCTCTGACCGCCGCTGCTGCCGGTCCCTGCTGCCGTTCCTACTGATGCCTGATCCCGCTGCTGCCTGTTCCTGCTGCCGCTCCTGCTGCTGCCTGTTCCTGCTGCCGCTCCTGCTGCTGCCTGTTCCTGCTGCCTGCTCCTGCTGCTCCTACTACTACATGTGCCGCTGCTGCTGTTCCTGCCGCTGCCGCTCCGCGGGCTCCCAGGCTGCATCTGTCTCTACGGCTCGGCTCTTTCAGACACGTATGTAACCTGGCTCACGGAGACAAGCGGCGCACGCTGGCGTGACACGTCTGTGACACTGAAACACTAAACAGCTACAACAATATTCTACTGCTGTGGCTTTGATACAGGATTATTGCTGTTATTCTCTACGGATGCTGCAACTGCTGCTGCTGCTTCATACTGTTGCTGCTGCTGCTGCTTCATACTGCTACTGCTGCTACTGCTACTGCCCCTGCTTCATACTGCTACTGCTGCTACTGCTACTGCTGCCGCTGCTGCTTCATACTGCTACTGCTGCCGTGCTGCTGTTGCTTCTTTTACTTTGACACCTCTCTTCACTTGCATCTCTTTTACTGAAACACTGAACAGCTACAACAACATTCTACTGCTGTGGCTTTGATACAGGATTATTACTGTTATTTTCTAAGGATGCTGCTGCTGCTGCTGCTACTGCTGCTGCCGCGGCTTGATACAGGATTATTGCTGTTATTATCTGAGGTTACTGCTGCTGCCGCTGCTGCTACATGCTACTGCTGCAACCCACTCTCTCAGAAGCTTACCCTGCTTCTAATGGATGCAGCCCGGCTGAGTATGCCGCGCTGCGCTGGACTCGCACCTATGCTCTCAGGGTCGCTTCGGCGGTCATGCTTCATCTCTCTACTTAATCTACTTAATCTTCTGATTCTATCAGATGCAGCTGGCCGAGTAGCTGCGTTGAGCTGTCAATCGGACATAGACAAAGATAACTCTGCTGCAGCGTCCGGTTGATCGTGATGCGAGCGCTCACGTCCCGGCGCTCAAAGATAACCCTGCTACAGCGTCTGGTCGAACGTGATGCGAGCGCTCACGTTCCCAGCGCTCAAAGATGCCCAGCGGACGCAGCCCGGCTGAGCGACCGTGCGAAAAGCCTTGCACTCATGCTCTCAGGCCTGCGCAGTGCGTCCTGCTATCCCATCGCAGGCCCACTTTTTGGGGGATTATGCGCGCGATCAAGCGCCGCGCTCAACAGCATCTCTCCCGGGCCTAGGGCGCCAAACATGCTTAATCCTAAACTTCTAACTGCATTTTCCCTCATGGGTCTCTCCAAGGTGAAATGGAGCTTTTCGCGAAAGTTAACTGTGGTAGACCCGGCTGCTGCTTGCCCAGATCTACAAGCCTGCTCATCCTCGACTCATCATACCAGCAACGCCCACATCTAATCAACCAATAACCACCAGGACAGCAAGTTAAAAGCCGGAGACACCCACTTCCCGGCCTTCTAAAGTCTGCAAGCCTCCGCCGCCCCACCTCCTCCTTCTCTCATCGAAGCGTGCTTGCCTACTGCCTCTGCCGTCACCAGTGCCTAGGCCCCGGGGGGGATTATGCGCGCGATCAAGCGCCGCGCTCAACAGCATCTCTCCCGGGCCTAGGGCGCCAAACATGCTCAATCCTAAACTTCTAACTGCATTTTCCCTCATGGGTCTCTCCAAGGTGAAATATATTTATGCTATAATAATAAGAACAACAGGTAGAGTCTGTCAATAATTAACGTTTGAGTCCCAACTAAAGACTCATTTATTTAGACTTATGTGAGCTGTGTTCATGATGAGGGCCGTCTTCTGTATCTTTGTCTTTGAAACTGATTGTATGTGTATTGTTATTTTTATTATCTGTATGATTTTAAATGTGAAGCGCTTTATGATCCTGGTTTGTAAAAGCCACTATACAAATAAACTTTACTCACTTAAAAACCTTGTATGCCAGCTCGCATAGGCTTCTCACTGACCAGGGTATATAATATGTCTTGTCAAATATCATAAAATCTCCAGCTGCAGCTCTATCCAAATGTCAAAAATCCCTCTGAATGGTTTTCTCTGTGTGCTACATGTTCATTGCAGAGGTGGCCCGGCAGAGAGCAAGGGGAGAAGATGAAGTGCCCCACACCTGATGATGATAAATGTCACACTTTGAATCATATGTTTTTTACTAAAATTATCGGACAGCTCAGAGCAAGATTTATGACTTTGAAATGCATGCTCTTCGCTTTTTTCCCTCCCTGATGGTCGCTGCAAATGCCCTGGCACAGTCCAGACCACCTCAAACTCAGCTGGCTCGGTCAGGATATTCATCAACTTTTATTTGGCAAAAGTGACAATGCTAAAGTGACTATGAAGATTCAATTCATTAATCCTCGCCAGTGAGCAGTGTTCTTTATATTGTTATGGAAAATCAATGTGATTGAGCTGGAAGGCTGCCAGAGTGGTCCGTGCTTGAGGCCCATGTTATAGGCATGTCATGCAAGCTGTGTTTTTGCTTCACATCAAGGCTATATGCAAATCTCTCTCTTACTTAAAGAAATAAAGCCGTGTCAGCATATTCTCAGAACAAGTGTGTTGGCTGTACAGGTGGGGGCTGATGATGTGTGAATTTGGATGATAGATGATACTGCAGCACGGTTTAATCCAGCTGTTGGTTATGTCCTGAAAGTGCTTTGCATTACTCGTTCACAGTCAAACTGAGTGGAGCAGCCAACCTTCACCAAAAAAAGTCAACGTGAGACCAGTGTTTTTCAACCAGTGTGCCATGGTACGTTAGTGTACATTGAGATATTGCTTGGTGGGCCTTGGGAAAAAAATGGGAGTTTTAGTTGAATTCATGCACCCTGACAAAAGCACCATGTGGGAGATATGTGAAAAGAGAAGTGCCAAAAGGAACTTGAATATTTAATCTTTATTCATTTTCATTACACGGCTCCTCACAGCAGCAGGGGAACGCTCTATTGATTTGAATGTCATTTCAAAACGTTCTACCGGTCATTATTTCTTGATAACTGACCTCTCAAAACAATAATGGCCGCTGCCCATGGCAACGCACTCTCTGCTCGTAATTCACATGTGTAGATTACTCCACAAGTAGTTCCGGCCACTCCGGAGCTATCCACGCTCAATAAACGTAAATACCAATCAATCAACACATTTAAATGTTAATTGGAAAATACGTTATACATATACATTCTTAATACACATGCACAGAGGATCTCAGAAGTATATATCTGTTAAGGTTTTCATAACAAAAATACTGTTTTAATGCAAGAAAAAGCGATCGCAAAAAGTAGATACCGGCACATTTTAGGACACATTTGCGGAAGATCGAATGATGGATTTAGGTAAAGTTTATGTTTGGGTCACTCACCGCTGATGTTCAGAATTATTTGCTCAGTTTCCATGCAGTTCAAGAGAGTTCTAGCTAGTTTAGAAGCTGCTAGCCTAACTGTTACTCGCATAGCCACGGGAAAGCCTTGGGGAACTTTTTTATTTTCTGTCATTAAATAAACCTTTCGGCCTTCCTAAAAGTGGACTGAAGTTTATTTTGTATATTCTGTTGGTACAAAGCCGTATAATAAGTACCTGCAGGGCGGAAGCGCACCTGCTGCACGTCAGGGTCCGCTTTTCCCTGTCGGTACTTATTTTCCGATAATGACCTGCGTACGATACATTATCCCTTACGTATATAGCGCCTCTCAAAGACCAGAGCCACAAAGCGCTTTACAATTATTGTGGGCATTTGCCTCAGCACATACTGTATATGGCAGCAAAGCTGCCAAACAGGAGGCACATACCAAACCTATTGTACATGTTTTTTGTGGTACAGGAAACTGGAGCACCCGGAGGAAACCTATACAGGCACAAAGAGAACATGCAAACTCCACTCAGAAAGGCCCTGTTCCGACCGGGATTCAAACCCAGGACCTTCTTGCTGATGGGAGAGTGCTATCCACTGATAAAGACTAAAATAATTCTATACTAATAGTTTGATATGTAGTTTATCTTTAATGGAAGTTACATCATAGAAGCAGGAGGAAGAATGAGGTCCTTCTCCGAGTGGTAAAGGCAGTGGGTAATTTGGGAAGCAACAACATTATTCTGTCAACAGCTTGTGTTTTCAGCATCAGAAATGTGACAAGGTGACAATGCCTTACAGTGTTAACAGCAGGAAGGGAAACAGGGAGCTTCTATACTTTACAAAGAGACAAATTCATTTTTCAAGTCAGCTCCATACATTCATAGCTCCAACATCTCTAAATACTGCACATGTCTAGGAGCGGAAGGGTTTGCCCAGTGGCCTGCTAGGGCAGGGTGCAGGGCTGATGTCACTGCAGGCGAACACAGGTGGCACATAGAGCCGAGTGGAAAGGTGCTCGTCACCCTTTAAAATACATGTAAAGGTGTAATGGCTCTTTTGGCTCCCCCTCCTCTGCTTCCTCGTTTCAGGTGGAAATCGGGTTGAAAGACAAGAGCCAGAAACAACACTCAATAAATGGACTCCTTGTTCACTATCACAGCCCTGTTTGTATAGAGCAGAAAGAGATGATTTGTAGTCATTCAGCGCAACTTCTTTGATGGAAAGGAGCAATGCAATACTGAAACTGACATTTGATATTAGAAGGAAAGAATGTAAAAACAAACCCACAGATTTCAGAATGTCACCAGTCTGAAGGGCCCCTGAGTCTCCTCTTTGTGCGCACACATCATGAATATTTTCTGTGTTATTTGAAGTGTTTTTTCAGTCACAGCTCACTCCCAAGAATATGTCGTATACCAGACTTAACGTGTTGAGACCCAAACAAGAGGCTTCTTATTAGATAAAAAAGATAAACCACTTTTTGTCCCCAGTGAGAAAATTAGGAATAAAAAAAAAAAAATAATATATATATATATATATATATATATATACATATATATAGCTTCAAAGGTGTATTTATTTCATGCACAGGTTACGCAAAGACACGCACACAACAAGCAGAGATTAGTTTGATATATTTATCATTTAAATGACGACATATGAACATCATTGACCTACATTGAATACAACACAATGTCTCATGCTGCTCTACACTCTTAAAACAGATGTGTTGAAAACAACACAAAACGTGTTAAAAAAATGCACATCCCTGTGTCTAGTTAAGGACTGCATAACATGTGTTGTTTTTAACACAGTCAGTGTGTTGAGATATTTAACACATTTTTTGTGTTAGAAATTTCAACACACTGACTGTGTTAAAAACAACACATGTTGTGTAGTCCTTAACTAGACACGGGGATGTGCATTTTTTTTAACACATTTTGTGTTAAATAATGTGTTATTTAATTTTTAAACCTAAAATTAACCCTTCCCAACAATGCTACAAATGATTCCAACGACTTAATGAAATTAACATTTATTGACACATTTTAAATAACAGTTTCAAACTGTTTAAATAGATGATTAACATCGTTGACAGAAACACTGTATAAACAATACTTAACATTGCAGTCAGATCAAAATCATGCAGAGAACATCAGGCAACACCATCATAAATCTGCAGGACCCTTTCTGGCATTAACAAAAACAAAACATGTTTATTCTAATTTATCAATAATTTTGTAACGTGGATTTAGGTACAGTTTGCTTTCAGTTGAAAATGTCAAAAAAGTCAAGTGGTCTGATGTCTCCTAACTCATTAAAATTTATCAGTTCATATCCATCAGTTCGTTCCACAACATAAGAACACAAATGACTATCAAAGTATTGAACAGTTACAATTCTAATAAAAGCAAACACTTCCTGACTTTCACATTTGGGAAGCATATGTACAACTTCCCCAAAGATGGGCTCTCTTCTTTGGTCAAAGTTTAAAACAAGTACACAACCAATTCTAAAAGTCTGACCAAACATGCTGACTGAATGAGCAATATGAATTGTACTACATGAACTGACATCAAAGTCAAGAGCTTGTAAACACTGAATGAACAAATCATTTTTTTCCAAAGATGCAACTATTACGGCTGAGGTGTTATGAACTTTCATCGTTTTAGTCATTGGGTCACTAAATTTCCAATTAAACATACTTTGAAGCTGCGTTTTAAAAGCCAATGTTTTGGATATGTTTTTAAAATTACATACAATTTGAGCATGTTTTTTAAGAGGACCATGCTTACTTTCAAATCGCATGCACCAGAACTTCACAAGTGGACCAAATTTAATAATCATGCGCCAATAATGAGTCATAAAATGGTGTTTTGGTATAAGCGGTCTGTTAGGATAAAGACGTTTGAATATGCTGTGGTGATCAATAACCAACTGTTTCAAAAATATAGAAAGTCCGGGGCTGACAACAGGTGCAAAAATAATACTACAGATTTCTCTAAGAAGAAGAAACAATTCCCAATGCTGGTTGTCATCACTTACAAAGTCACCTATGAGAAATGGCAAAAAAAGTAAAAGGCACCACATTTGACTCGCAGTTTGTTTTATGGGATTTTCGGATGTCCTTAAATTAATAATGACACTTGGTTTGTTTTTTACATTTGAATAGCCATAATCAAAGCTTAAGATTCTGTCATTCAGCTGTTCTAAAGTGAATAGTTTTTTCTCATATATAAAATGCCGTAACATTAGTTTCACTTCCAGTGGACCGACCCCCTCCAATATATCATGCATAATGTCAGGACAAACATTTTCAGTGACATGAAAGTAGTTTAAATAATTCAGACAGGAGTCCTCTTTTACACCAGTTACAGATGGATTCTTCAGGCTGACATGTTCATTATAGTTTTTCATATTACGAAGCTCTTGGCGATCATCATCAAATATGTATTGGGCTGTTTGCTTATCAGTTAAACAGAAGTGGCAAAACTTGTTAGCAGAGAAACTTTCCAAAAATCCTCCAAGTGAATGGCAAGCAAGATTATCAGCAGTCAGCAGGCAAATGGTTCCATTGAGCAGATGGTTTTGACCATCAATTTCCACCCTAATTCCTTCCTTTTCCAAAAGTTTTATGTCCTCTAACAAAGGCTCTAATATTTTGCTGAATCCATATACTTCTCTATCTACTGAATTGAAGAGGAGAGTTAGGTGAATGTTCGACAAAGAAGAGTTAAGTTCAGGTGAAAGGTTTCTCAAACAAAAATAAACGGCACCCATTTTGTGAATTTTTGTTTTTGATCCCAAAGGATTGGTTGTTTCCAAATCATCGAAGTATAACTGGATTTGCAGGGCATTAGGAAAGTCAGTAAACAAGGGGTGATGAGCAAACTGTAGACCGTCGGTATAATCCCGCATTTTTCCATCCACGCTTTTAGTTGATTGTTTATAGAGTTTCTGCATCTTTTCATTTCCAAATAAAAAACATATTGTTTCAATAATTGACACATACTGACATGTGTCAGCAGCCAAAACCTGAGCCACTTTCCCCTGTCTTCTAGCAGTTTCTCCTCTGTGGCCCAAAAATATTTCTTTTGGTTTGATAAGAGAATGTTTTTCAGAAAAGTATTTCCACATTTTGAAGGGAGTGTCTACATCAAAAAACATATTGCGTGCACGTTCAAAATCTTGCATTAAAGATCCAATTGCTGCCTCTTGAGTTGATATTGAATAGCTGTTAAAAACCGATGTTGTCCTCTCCTTGAGTGAATCTAAAGTTTTGTCCAGTAACTCCTTGGTACATGCAATGCTCTTTTGTACATCAGTTAGTGTGGAATTGGATGCAGAGTACATTTGGGCAACAAAAGAGGCTGCACAGTCACTGAAATCTGAAAAGCTATCCAAAGTGTCCAATTCAGAGCCCATAATAGTATCTGTAGTGTCCACAGTATTAGAGCCAGATGGAATAGAAGCATCAGGTGACACATTACTGAGGTTGTGGCTGACATATTGTTCAGTTAATTCTGGACGTACAATCTGATTGTGTTCTTTATTGAGGTGTTTTCTGTATGAATTGAAGTTATGATAAGTACGTTGACAGTGGTTCTGGCTGCATACAATCGTAAAATCTTGTGCATCACTTAGAGCGTGGACTTGTCTGAGATGTCTGATAAGTAGCCTCACATGTTTGGAAACAGATTTCTTGCACTTAGGACAAGTATACATGTTTGTTTAAATTACAGCACTGCTTGCAGTTTTGCAACAAGTTCTGCAACTTTAGATCGCGTCGCATTTGGCTTGTGGATGTCATAGATGTACTCGAAAAACTGATAAACCGATTGCACCTGTGCAGGATATGTCAGGTTGCATACCCAGAACATTTTGAAGAGCTTGTCAATGGCGCATGTTAAGCCTTCATCTTCAAGAGGGATCACAACTTTGTCATTTTTGGCCACGATGATGTATTGTGCTGTGTCGCTTGGTTGACCAAGACATACAAGCTTGGGCTGCTGGGCTGTTGAGTCAAGAGATCCCTCCATCAGACTTGAGAGGCTGGTTCCCGTCTGGAAAACAACATTAAAATAGTGAACTGGGGTTGGCTAAGTTGAAGCATTAACACAGAAAGCAGTGAGCTCTGTGTGGGTGAAAAATGGCAAGATTAACCTAAAGGCTCATTCATACTTCATAAGACGAAATAACTTTTTTTTTTTCTTACACCGAGAGCTGTAAGAACAAAATAAAGTAATTTTGTACTTGTAACCATGGAAACGTCTTGTAACTAAAGACGTTTCCATGGTTACAAGGCAAAAAATACATGATTTTGTTCTTACAACTCTCGGTGTAAAAACAAAGTTATTTTGTCTAATGAAGTATGAATGAGCCTTAATAAGTGTATGACAGAAACAAAGAGCAATAAATTAATTTACAACTTTACCGGCTTGATGTCCAAGATATAAGAAAGAGCAGATTTCACGCTGCACTTGGACCATCCTTTGCCTCTCCCCAACGCAATTGGAGGAAGAAGATGAGTAAGTATCTGCAGGGCGCGGAAGGCACGTGCCTCTGAACAAAACACAAAGAGACAACATTCTAAAATACGTTAAGTTGTGAGTAGTTCCCACCTGTAATATTAGTTCGACCACAGTGAATCACCCCAAGAATGCACAAAAACTTCTCACCACCATTTTCTTCAGTGTCTTGTAGAATGTTGTCATAATTTTCCAGTGTAGCCACTTTCAGTAATTTCGGAACACAGTGCGCTTCCCACTTGCGAAGGAAAAGGTCTTGCTTCCCAGGTAAAAGCTTTCCAAACTCAACATCCAACTGCGACAAAAGAGGACAAAAGTGCTAAGCAGTAAATCCTTGTAACGTCACAAAGACAACTTATGTTGTAAACGGTATGCTGTAAGGACTGGTGCAATGTGATTTGGGCAGCTCCAACAGCTGCCCCCACGACCCAGCAATGGACAAGTGGGAGAAAATGGATGGATGGATGGATGTTAATGTACTGAACGGTGTTGAGTAACTGGCATTGCAGTATTTACCAAGCAAGGAAGGTCCACGAAGCGTGGGTAGTGCTGAAATATCTCCTGAAGGGTCGGTGCCTGGCTTGCAATCCAGAGCCTTCGGTTGGTGAATGTTTTCTCCATGCCCATTTTGATAGTTGCCATGTTCTCAGGACTTGGTTTCATCCTTTTGATTGCGCTGGTCCACTCCATGATGGACTCATCCTCTATTTCAGCGATGTCCAGTGTTACAACACTAGGCGAATGACTAGACCTCCCTCGTTTGCAATAGCGCCGTTTGTCATCATCAATCTTCCTGCGAAGATTTCGGAGCTTAAATTCAATGAACCCAGAGTGGGACACCGGGTCATAAAAATGCTCCTAGACAAAAAAACAGAGTATTACTAACACTCAAATGTCTGCACAAAAACAAAATAAATCCAAAATGTTACATTTCATACTTACAAAACCTTCATTCTCTTCAACCATTTGTATTTTAAGTGCTGGGAAGACTGTTATTATGTTTCTAGCCAAAAGGACCTTGTCAGCTTTTGAGGGATAGCTGAAAAGTGTTGACAAATAATTAAATATCCGTCAATTCATAAGAATATTGCGATTATTTATATTTATATATATATATATATATACACACACACACATACATACACACACGCACACAGTGCCTTGCGAAAGTACCAATACACCTTGAACTCTTGCACAGTTTGTCATGTTTACAACCATAAACATAAAGATTTGATTTTGAATGTTCTACTGGAAGTTCACAAGTTCACACACAACTGTGAAGTGAAAGCAAAATGATACATGATTCTGTTATTTTGGAACATTCTGCAGTCATTAGGAATGTTATAAAGGTAATTTAATGCACTCAGAAAATGCTGTATGAATACTTACGCACGCCCCACTTTTCACTTTTCTATTTTTTGTAAAATAACAGAATCGTGTATCATTTTGCTTTCACTTCACAGTTGTCTGTTACTTGTGTGTGAACTTTCAGTAAAAAATTCAAAATAAAATCTTTACGTTTAGGGTTGTAAACATGACTAAATGTGCAAAAGCTCAAGGTGTATTAGTACTTTTGAGAGGCACTGTATGTGTATGTATAAGGATTGTAAGGATTGTAAGTTGTGATATATATATATATATATATATATATATATATGTGTATGTATAATATATATATATATATATGTGTATGTATAATATATATATATATATGTGTATGTATAATATATATATATATATCACAACTTACAATCCTTTTAGCTCCACTAAATGACTGACGCATAACTTCACAAGAAGTTGTCTGGAAGCCAAGGCAAGGGTCCCAGATGTCTTGTATTCTTGCAGAAGTTTTGGGGCCTTTCTCTCAAGCAGTTGTGTCAAACCACTTGCATCCAAACGTGGTCCATCATTTTGATGTTCAGTCTGCAACAAAACAGAGGACAAACTCAATATGTTTGCAATAAGGCGCTCAAATGACTGCACCACATGGGTTAATATACCTCTCTCTGACTACGTGAGCAAGCTGCATTTGTAGTTCTGGGTTGATCCTATGACAGAATATAGGCTAATATAATTGAAAAAAGTAAAGCTCTCTACAAAAAACGACTATCACTAAACATAACATACCTGTTTGGCCAACTGCTTGTTTGAGTCATTTTGTGTTATTGACTTGAATAGAATGTGATACTTGTCCAGGTTTTGAACACTGCTATCAATTTCAGTGTCAATATATTCATTAAAATCTGTATGAAACTTTAAAAGCCGATCACATTCTGCATCACAGTTCAATAAATGCTTGCTGGCAGTAAGAATTTCGCCAACGGTGTTCAGTTGGTGAATCTTTTTAGAAATCTCACTTCCATCTAGGAACACCGTCACGAGAGACGTGACGCTCCCAGTCCCCTCCATCTGAAAATGTAACATAAATACTTTGAGTTATTAAAACAAAGAGTTTATCATACCTCTTCAATTTTATAGAGCTCTAAGTAATACACATTTCCTTATCATACATTTGAATAAAGGAAAATAAATAAATGTGTTTCTCAAATGTAACATCAGGCTAAAATGCATTGATTCAACTCCATTCTCATACAGTAGGCAGTTAGTATTATCCACAAATTCTCATCTCACAAATACAGTTGCTTTGTCCGAAAATAACTACAGCCATCATGGAGTTAAACCCGGAGTTGCTTATCTAATAATAAGCAAAGCTGGAGGTGGTAGGGGACGGAGGGGGAGAGAAGTGTGCCTGAAACTGGGACAATTGCGCGACGCACGAGGAGTGGCATGGAAACGTGGGGCAGATGGCAGGTACATAGATTGGACTTCACTGGGGAATCTCGTCCATATACAGTATATCGTGATGAGGAGTAGAAGAGCGAAGGGCTATAATGGCTTTAAACCACTCCTCGCCAAGCGCTCGAGCAGCCCTGTCTCATTTTACTTCTCACATTCGAACTAATTAGCAAACGTAAACCTACTCAGTCAACTTTAGCTCCTAGATCAGTTAACTTTCGCCGTGTTCCCCTCAGACGGAACGGGAACAGTAACCGCTTCTTACCGCTCGCTGCCCACCGTGAGAGGCTTTGGAATGCGCATGCAGTGTAACACCCGCCTCAAGATTATTGTCAACAGAACCGGGCAAACCGCAACCAAATCAGAAGTGGTCTCAAAAAGATAAGGCCAAGTAAAAAGTACGCAAGTCAGACCAAGACTGGATGAGCAGCCTGCTTCAACATGCCCCGTTAGCTAATGTTAAAAATATATCATGCAAGGTTGAATGACTACTTTCTGCATCAATATCTCCATCTCGCATTTATTCAACCACAATTTAAGCACACCCAGACAGATTAAGCAGATGTACTCACGTTTATTTAAAGATCGTTCGAAGAATTATGCAGCTAGCAATAGCCTAGCACACCATAGAAGGTGCCTGCGGCAAGTTTTATGTGAACGCGGACCAAACCTAACGTCAAGTGTTCAGACTGTATCGCTCCAGTTTGAAGTGAAATCACAAATACGAGTGACAGGCATCATGGACATTATTTTTGTGTGACACCAACAAAGCGGAGGCTGTAGTTTTGCCATCAGCTAGCTAGGGATTGGGCTAATAATTATGACAACTAACTAGCTATCAGTTGCCGTTTACAACATTTAATCGATGATACTTAAGAAAGTAAAGCAAAGCAGACAATTGCTAACATTAATGTAAAAATTTAGAAAGTTATACCTGTTTTTCGGAAGACTCGCGCCCAAATTGCTCCTTGGTCAATGGCGAAGTCAAAAAGGCCTAGTCACCGCTGCTGTGAAGGATTTGGACAAAGCTCTGCAATGTGATTGGTCGATATTTTAACACGTAAATGTGTAATTTGAAAAATTTTATATTTACACATTTCTGAAATATTTTAACACAACATGTGTTAAAGTAGGTGTAACACAAGAATTGTGTACAAAATTAACACATCCCTTTTAAGAGTGTATGCTCAGTGACACATTAATAGCGCCAATTATCTTGTTATAATGTAAATAATAAACGTAATTACATGCGCTTAGCAAAACGCATGTGCAGTGTCCATGTGAATCAGAAGGACTCATGTTTCACTCATAAACTGTGACAAAGTCAGAAAAGGAGAGTGACTGCAGAAAAGGAAGGGGATGTACCGCATGAGGGAAAAGACATTCTAAATGTTTCAGTGTTTTAAAACTCAGCTAAAAGATAAAACTACTGTATGAGTAATATGTGAACTGCCCACAAAAGAAGAATTAAGGAGGCACAATTTTTTTCTGACTTATTGTTTTCATCAAACCTGACGAGAGGCAAAACGCCACATTCTGATTGGCCAAAAGCCTACAGTACGAGCCTCGCTTATCATCAGTAACTTGCAGGTAATATTTCCCTTTTACAACCTCTTCTTTGAAAAGGTTTTCTTCAAGAAAGTAGCACATTTTACTGTATAGTTCACCCAGGATAATGTTTGCACCCTGGTGCATCTTGTATTTTCTGTTATTTTATCTCAAAGATGCTGGTGTCAGAGGTCGATGCACAGTACATGCTGCAGATCATGTTTTAATAGTAGCAGCTTTTAGCCTATGGACCCGAAAGATTGCACCTTAACTTTCTCCAGCTGTATATTTATCGCAGTGACAATATACACCACAGTTGTAAACACTTAGTTTTAAAAAGACCTTGAATTAAACTAAATTTCTTGAGCCATAGTTGTCTAACTTGAATGATGTTTGGGTGTAAATGCACAAGATGGATCCACAATCATCAGACAGAAGTCTTTTTAACAGAGAAACATGTGAAGCTCTTCCAATCATGAGCAGGAACCAAGCCACATCCAAACAGTTTGAAAATTAGTTTTTACTTGTGTAATAAATGGGAAACACAACTGTCACAGGTTTAAAAGAGTCTGTTGAGGGGGTGTGATCAGAAAAAAGCAAAAAGGTAATAAGGGTATAAAAATGTAATACAATATATACAAAAAGGATCCATTAAAAAGAGGATAAAAACCCGCAGTCCACTCGTCCTCCTCAGTCTTCGCCATCTCGTCCCTCTGTCCTGGGACCGGGCCGCGGTCTCTCCAGCCACATGCCAACCACGGGTCACCACCGTGCACCCGCGGGGTAGAGCGGGCACATCCCAGCCATGATGTGGGTCTAGCCCGGTGCGCACACGCCTTCTGTGCTATCAAAGTGCGCCCATCACCGGTGCCGCTCTCCCCGCTGGCCTCAGTCCCCCGTGGTCTCTGGCTAGCGGTCCTCTCCTCTCTTGTTCTCTCTCTGTCTTTCTCCGTCTCTTCCTGCAGGGCCCGCCCCCAATTTATGGTCTTCTTGATTAAAAACAGGTGTGGGTAATTGGAGAAGTGTCCAAGGAACCGTGAGATCAAGTGCATGCATAAAACCATAAAAACACAAAAATAAGAACGGTCAAAAGTCCCTGTAAAAGTCCACTTTCCCACACAACGCCTTGCAGGTAGCAGTGTTAGCCTTGCACAGCCCTGAATGAGATCCCTCTGCTCAAAGCCGTGGCGTGTATCACAGGACTTCCCTGCATCAAAGGTTGTGCCTTTAAAAACTTGTGTCATCAATAAGATTACAATCATAAGCACAACAAATGAAATGCATCTGAGTTACTAAGCTAATCGTCTAATAATTAGTAAACTCTCAGGCTTGCTAGAATGTCATTAAGAGCTACATGTCATAAACATCTGTAACATTCTAAATATTATTATTTGCACTGTTACAGTTCAGGGGTTACCAGCAGCAGTGGATCAGGGGGTGCCGTGCACATGGTGAGAGAGGCTTTGTGAAGAAGACAGACTACAGGAGTTTCCAGTCTAATGAGATTTAGAGTCGTGACACACAGTCATTAGACAGAGGATATTTTGCAATGATTTATTTGACACCGCAAGCTTTTCTTGCAATGTCAAGAAAAATGACATAGCTGCCTCCAAATTAAACAAAAAATACTGCATTCCTTTCATAACATAAACATAACATTTCCAGTCACAATCATATTAATCTAAAATAACCTCTCCTCAATCACTTGACCAAACACTCAGACAAATGTTGTCTTCCAAAGGTCAAATTAAAGACAAGTCTTGGGACAGGGATGCTTTATATACAAACACCACAACACATTTACATTCAAAGAGACCAAAAATAAAGACAAGCGTACCGTCTGAGGGCTCTGGGACCGTTACAGGACAATAGGTAGCCTCTTCCTTCACTCCTTGAGCAGAAGAATAAGCTAAATGCATAAGTAAAAAAGCTAATTCAACAGTCATGGTTGCAGCAGTAAAGTAGGGATATAGGAAAAAGTTACTTGTTTACCACACGGCACATGCTACAGACATCCTGCACAGAAAGCATGAGGATGTGAGTGGCCACATGTGACTGATTTGCTTTGAGTGTTTTGTGGTTAAATCAATGCAGTTGTGTTGTTTTGGACACATATGTTTGTGGATGGTACGCAGACATCTACTCTGCTTATACACTCAAGATATACGCTGAGGCTGCAGCTATCGATTGCTTTAGTAATTCTTTACACAGCACAGACATACAGTACACAGACCCACATCACATTTGCCGATAAAAAGATTGGGTTTTTCAACACCATCTAAATGGTTCAACTATGACGGAGTGTTAAATTAAAATAATATTCACATTTATTGAAAAGATTGCAAAACAAAAGCAAAGGGAGGGATCTGTTTTAGAAAATGATTTTGACCATTTTTGTCTCCCCTCATCTCGAGTACTGGGTATTTACCAGTAACAACAGAGGTCCTTTTTTGCACTGGCCGTACCTTGATTAAATGAAATTGGAAGCTCCTCAAAATAAAAGAGTCTTTTTGGCAAATCAGTATGTTGTACTAATCCAAAGGAGAGCCCCCTTTGCCCCTTTGGCGTCTTTTCACTGGGATACTTGTGTATGTTTAATTAGCGCTGAGAACCGACAGGCCCGCTGCTCCCAGTTCCTTGATGTCTGCTGGTTGCCGTTGGCACCACTGACCACATAATCATTGCTGGGCACATCGGGGACAGAGCTTGATTTTCAAAGCCTTTCGCTCCACTGATTTGCTGTGCATCCATGAGATTGATCACAGTGGTTTATCTGTGGCAACATGTGCTTCATCCCTTCAGATTTGGGAGG